TAAGAAAGATAAGAAAGATAGAGGTAGACCTAGGAAGACTTGGGTTTATTGTATAAAAAATGATCTTAATTTATTAGAACTAAATGAAAATATGACACTAAATAGGACGCAATGGAGAAAAATGATTCATGTAGCCAACCCCACACAGTGAGATTAAGGCTTTGTTGATGTTGTTGTTGTCTCTTTTTTTGGAGTTTGCTTCCAAAATTACAAGATAATCAAAAGATTAAATACATATTTAAATATCCTATGTACTTGGTTAAGGTGAAGTCGAACTAGCTCAATGCAGCTCAGCCTAGTTAGAATGATAAAAAAATAATGAACTCTTCTAGATTAGCAAAACTCATTTAAATCAATAAGAACTTGTGAAGAGCATAGTGAACTCGCCAGCACATACACAACCACTTATTCTACAGTGCATTTAGGATTACATACTGAAACTCAAGCATTCTGTCCCGATATCAAGCATACTATCCCAAGGTCAAGTGTGCTCACTCAAGTTCAAGGGTTACTCACCTAGTAGCACTTACTCCAAGAAGCCGGAAACTCTATCAAATCAAATCGAGGACCTCTTTGGCTAGTCTAGGACTTCGTTTAACTAAGCAAGTAGTCAATGATTACTATTAATACACTTACGCTGCTCGCCTCATGTATTTTTGTAGCATAAGACCATTAAGAATCGGTATATATATTCTGTTACAAATAGCTAGATATCTAGCATTTCCTTGTAGCACTCGACTCTCAATCCCAGTCTACAAATAATAGGTCCCGCGCAGAGCTGAGGGGAAGAAGTAATTTTTCATACCTTGTTCTAGTGAATCCCGGAGCTTTTTACTTCAGATTTTATCTATCTCTAATCTCTGTTGATAGGTTCTAACATACCTTAAATATTCATCTAACATATACCATTCCGCTGCTAAAACTAAATTATCCGCCCTCAACGAATAAAACTGAAAGGCTTCAATGTAAATCCAATGCAATTCGGTTATAATCCAAAAATAAGAGAAAACGAAAAACAATAAACTTAACATAACTCTAATACATGACTTCAGAACCACTGGAATGAAACTCAAATCCAAGCATTTACAAGAAAACTCGAGATGATGCGAAATTAAAACAGGAGACGAAAGAAATGAAAGATGGGGACAAAAAATTCATAAAAATTGGGTTAGGGAGTGGAGAAGAGACCTTAGCGCTCTCCTCGTCCATGGAGACTAAAGAAAAATTCTCCCGAATCGCCGATCAAAGAGACGCGACGAAGCCAAAGGAAGTAGAATTAATTTTTATTTTCTTGGAAAACTAAGACAACTGCGAGAAAGCTTTCAAGACACATAAATGCGATGTGAAAATACTGTATGTATTACCCAAAAAATAAAAAAATAAAAAAATAAATAAAAAAAATAAAAAAAAAACTGTGTTTTTAAAATGTCACCGCATCAAATAAACAGTCCCAAACTTCCATTACCAAAAAAAAATAATAATAATAATAAAAAATAAAAAAAATAAATAAAATACCGTGTGTTTTTAAAATGTCACCGCATCAAATAAGCAGTCCCAAACAGAGTCTTAGATTGTCATAGAAGGGAATATTTGACACTGCACACTCACGCCTAAACTTTCAAATTAATGCATGCTTAAATTTTTAATATAACACCAAAAATAATATTATTATTAATTTTTAAAAGCTATATAAATATTTTTTTTTCATAAGTTTTGTCATAGCCCGATCATGAAGATACTACACCGCGACAATACAAGACATGATGAAATAATATAACATATTTTATATTCACACAAAAAAATTGTATACAAGCAATATGTCATGGAAATATAAAAATATAAAATTTATTTCATTCCATAAAAAAAAACTTCAACAATAAATATAACTAAAGGAAAATTACAAACTAACTTGAAGGATATTGAATAAATAACTTTTCATATCCAAAAGTTAATACAATAACTAATGCAATGACTAAAAATTTCTAGACGTAAATCTAAAGCTAAAATGTTTGCTCCTGTGGAGTGGGTCCTCTGAATGCTAAGTGAAATCTGCTAAAAAAATTAACAAATGAGTTTGAATCAAAACCAATAACCAACTATTATTGAATTAAGGCACAAATAGCAAGGATTGGGCCATGTATATATATATATACCAAAAAAGGAGTAGATTTTCTATTAAACCCAAGAGGAAGTTACAAGTCTGAGATGGGGTGCATTAAACAGGTCACCCTGCAGCAAAAAGCTAAGTAAAGGACTAAGAGGAAATGAGACACCATCTGGGATTCCCCACCACACTTAGCCAGCAAATTGGCTGGTCGATTACCTTCCCTGTAAATGAAAGTAAAAGTGGCATCTATCTCAGTCAACATGGTTTGAATTTGTTTGATCCACTAGAGGATATGCCAAGGGGAGTTACTTTGTGCAATGATAACAGCCATGAGCAAAGAAAATTCCAATTCAACTTGTAATGAAGACCAACAGTTCAAGATAGCCAATTTGAGAGCCCAAAAAATAGCAACAGTTTCAGTCTCAAGTGCATCCTCAGCAAAAAAATTGGAGATTTAAAATATAATTAACATTTCCCATTGTGATATCTGTAGACACCACCAATACCAGCCCCCTTAGAAGAGAAGCTACCATCAGTATTAACTTTAACAGTAGGGTAAGCAGGTTCTTTCCAAAAAAACTTTAACCATAGAGAATGTTGGTGGACCCATAACTTTCCTTATATTTATTATGTTGGACAACTTCTTATATTGAATGAGTTTAATGATAAATGATTTGCAATTGAGAGCCACATGTTGTACAGTGAAGGTAGTATCCTCATACTTAACTTGGTTTCTTACCATCTATATAAAACCATGCAATGATGAAAGGTGAAAGGAAATGGGCCAATCTTCACCTGCTGCCAGCCTACCCAACAGTCTTGCTCAAGGTTCCATTCCAAATACAGTGTGTTAATCATCAAGTTTTGTAGGAATGCCACCTAAACTCTCCGAGAGAAGTGGCATTCAAAGAAAAGAAGTGAAGAAGATTCCTCAGTAACCTTACAGAAACAACATCTAGAAGGCACCCTAAGGACTTTTAATTTTAGTATGTTATCAGTAAAAAATAGTTTTTGAAATATTCTCCAACAAAAAAAGTTCATGGAGGATGTTAGGCATTTGTTCCACAAACAATCTCCCCAGGGCACACTATCCCGTTCATACAATTTGGAGTAAATGGACTTAGTGAGGCTGTGAGTAGAGCTGGAGTTTAAAACAAGTCTATAATTTTTAGTCATGTCAGAAGGTAATTTATAAATTAGAGTAGTTGAATGCTGGTTCAAGGAGTGTAAAAAATCAGCAGACCAAGAATCACCCTCCCAGCAATCTGCAACCAGAAGCTCAGTGTCAGTGTTATTAGTTGTAGAAGGTAAAAACTGTTCACGGCACTACCTATCCAACCAGAAATTCAGTTTGCTATTTCCTAAATCCCACAAGAAGAGTTTCTCAGCAGTCTGCTTTAGCTTTTATTAGATTAATCCAAATTCAAGATTTACCAGGTTTCCTGGAAGCCAAGTTGGGATGAGACTTCTTGCAGTATTTGACCATCATGAAATTTGCCCAAAGAGTGTTTTCTTGTTTTAATTTTAGCCAAAGTTTGCACAGACTAATCGGTTGTATGTGTTGTAGCCCTTTAAAGCCAAGACCCTCAACTGAGGTTGGTTTGGCAGCTTTCTGCCAACTGACCCAATGAAACACCTTTCCAATTGAAGTTGAGTACTCTTTTTCATAATGGTTATCTGCAGGATATAAGTTGGGAAGATAGTTAATATACATTTGAGGGTAATCCTCCACCAATTGGACAAAAAAGAGTTTGTCCAACATTGTAATTTGGAATTAATTTTATCCATCACATCATCAAAATGAACATATTTAGATCTGCCTTTGAGAAGAGGAACCCCAAGATATTCAAAAGGAGTGGACATAGGAGTGAAACCAGTGAGATCAATAATTCACTATTTAAAATGGGAAGTGGATCTATTGCTGAAGATTACTTGATACTTATTTTTGTTGAACATCAAACCAGAGTTTAATTGTAAATCCATTAAGAATTTATATACCAGTTTAACTGCAGCTTTGTTAGCCCTAGAGAATAGAATAATATCATCTGCATAAATCAGATGACTAATTGTTAAGATAGATTTATGACGGTATATACTATAACTCTTCTCTTGGGTTGATTTATCCAACAGTCTGGATAAGTAATCCAAAGCAAGGATAAAAATTGTGGGGGAGAGTGGATCCCCTTGTTTTAGTCCCATTGTAGCCCTAAAGATCTCATGGGTTTTCCCATTGATGAGCACAAAATTTACATTTCCTTTCAACCATCTATATATGAGCTGACAGAACTCACTTGGAAAGCTCCTAGCCACTAGGGTTTCCATTATAAAATCCCAATGGAGAATATCATAAACCTTCTTCAGATCAAGTTTATAGATAAGATTACCCCCTCGGTAAGGTTTATCAATATCATTCAGCAGTTCTTGAACTAAAAGCACATTGTCCCTAACACATCTTCCCTTAACAAAAGCTTCCTGTTTGGGACTGATAAAATGTGGCAAGTGGGGTTGCAGCCTTCCCACAAATGATTTTGTTAATGATCTTACTCACCACATTTGTAAGGTTGATTGGCCTAAACTGATGCCACTGATCTCTGGTAAAGGATTTAAGAATAAGTACTGTGGTAGATGCACAAAAATATTTGAGATTTGCCCCCAAGAAAAAACTTTGTATGGCCAAAACCACATCTCCTTTAATGATCTTCCAAGCCCAAGCTTTTTTAAAAAAATCATAGGTGACCTCATCAGGTTCAGCAGTCCTACCACTATCAATAGTGGTTAAAGCATTCTAAATTTCCTCATCAATGGAAATTTCAGCAAGTTAGAGTGTTGTAGTGTTTGTATGGTCTGGAAGGAAAATAGCTGAGTAAATAGTAACTCTATTAGGAGTTGGGCAATTATGTAACTTTTGATGAAAATCCACAGCATCCTAGGCAATGTCAATGGGATCCCTAAGCTATCTTCCATGATCATCCATGATATAATGGATATTATTGCTTTTTCTCCTGTATTTGATGCAAGCATGGTAATATTTGGTGTTTATGTCCCCATCTATAAATCTGCTAATTGAAGCTTTTTGTTTCAGAAAGGATTCTAGCCAAGCCACAATAATGAGGAGTTTCTCATTAGCTTCTAATAAAGAATGTTCATCAGTCAAGTCAGTGATAACAACAGATTCTGAGGTGACTAGATCCCTTTCAACTTGCTCAACCCCTGTGAGAAAATTCCCAAAAATGATCTAATTCCATTCTATGAGTGCTTTCCAACTTTTTTACTGCAATTGACAAAGTTTAATGAAAGAATTAGGATGTTCAATACCCCTCCAGTGTGTTGAAATAGTGTTAAGAAAATCATTATGTCCATACCACATGTTCAAATATCTGAAAGGTGTGTATCCTTTACTGGGTGTGGCAGTGATTGTAATGAGAAGAGGTTTGTGGTTTGACCCAGCAAGGCTGAGATGAGTAATGGTGGTGTGTAATAAGTTTTGAAGCCATGAATCATTAACCAAGAATCTGTCCAGTCTTTCCTAAAGCTTACCTCTTCTCCAAGTAATTGTGGCCCAATAAAGCCTAGATCAAACAAACCAGTGGCCTGGATATTATAATTGAAGGTAGTCAAAGTAGATAAGATCGGGGGTTTACCTCCAAGTTTTTCATCCGGTGAAGCAATACAATTAAAATCCCCTCCGACTAACCAACGCCTGTCCATATACTGGCTGATATGAGAGAGTTCATTCCACAGCTCCTTTCTTGCACTTTTAGTACAACCTACGTAAATGATCGTAACACAACCAGTATGACCAACCATTGTAAAAGAGAAATGAAGAACATGTGGATGATTAATGAGAATGGATCAAGAGATCTCCTATCTGCAGAAGAGCCAAATTTTATTATTCATATTGTTAAATAGGCAAAAACCAGGGAAAAATTTAAATATTTTTAGGGATTATGATGAACCAAAGGTTCCAAAATTGCCAAACACCATAACTTGTGTTTTCTATTTAATCGTTGATGCCTTCTCAAGGAGTGGGAGTGGGCAATCCCCCTTATATTCTAGTGATACACCTAAAATATATAATATTTTTAAACACTTTTTTATACCTATTTTTGAGATATTGTGCTTTAATGAAATGTATCTTTGTGTTTTTCTTGCAGATATAAGTAAAAGGGTGAAAAATGCTTAAAGGAGTGAAAAATG